TCACCAGTACTAAGAAAAGATGTCCTTGAGTTGGAAAAAGTCCAGCGAAGGGCAACCAAACTAATTAGGGGTATGGAGGACCAGAGCTACGAGACGAGGCTACTAAATTTAAACATGTTCACATTAGAGGTGAGGAGATTAAGGGGGGATATGATCTCCATGTACAAAATGTTTAATGGTGGTAGCAACATTAGCGATAAACTGTTTAAAATTAACTCCGTTACAAAAACTAGAGGCCACCACCTAAAATTGATGGAAAAAAAATTCCAGCACAAGGGGCGAAGGGGGTTCTTCACAGTAAGATCAGTTAGGGTCTGGAACTCACTGCCACAGGCGGTGATTTCAGCAAATAATGTGGAATTGTTCAAGAAACTTTTGGACGATTTCTTAAGGGACCGTAATATACAGGGGTACAGGTACTCCTAGAATGAGATCCTAATAGGTTGGACTTGATGGACTAATGTCTTTATTCAACCTCAAATACTATGTAACTATGTAACAAACAAACCTATCAAAAAAACTCGTTAACTACATGCTCCCGGGATGTTGAGCACTACATTAGAGAGACCGACTGATCAAAAATCTATTCAACAGCCAGGTTGGAAAATCTCTTCTGTGCTACGACCAAAGCTCCCATGTATGTAGTCCTCTTACAACTGCCTGTCACCAGCATGATCTGTTCCAGATCTAGGAAATATCCAGTCAAATCTTATGAAAACTGCCATATGTTGGGCCTAGACATGGCAACACTTTAAGATGTCTCATGATCTATTACAACAGTACTGGAGTTTAACTCAAACTAAGAAATAGTAAAACAGGAACCAGAATACTAGTGCTCAGGAGTCCCCGTCATCGGCCATATCGTTAAAGCCTAGGAACGTGTAAACTAGTCTCTCCAAGCAGTTCCAGAAGACTAATGTTAAGCCAAAAAGGTAGCCAATCTGCAGTTCTACCTGAACATCACTTCTCCCCTTTCAGGGAGACCATGTGACCAATGCCTTGGTCAAGTGATCCTCTTGCCAGCTGGAAGTTGCAGCTTCATTTCCTGTCGTACAGGCAAATCCAATTTATTCATTTCATGGGCTAAAGGGTATTTCCATTTTTGCAGCCAAATGTGAGAAACCCCCTCTATACGTTTGTTGTGTGTTCCCATTCACACAGCATTTCTTACATTTGGAGCAGGATTATATATTGGGACTCTACAGGCAGCTTGTAGAGGTTAGAGCAGATGCATGCGAGCTGATAAGGAGACAGACTGAGGGACAGTTTATTTAACCCCTTTGTGACTGACGACGTACAGTGTACGTCGCCAGCATCGGGGCTGTTTAAACAAGACTCCCGGCGACTTTTGCCGCCGGGAGTCAATTAACATACATCTTCAGACCTGTTTGTTTGGACAGACAGGCCTGCTCATCTAGATTACACGTGATAATAAAAAGTGCCAGCAAAGTACAGACAGGGTTAATTATTGGAACAAAGTGCAGAGTCCGCCAAAACCCCCCACAGACAGTGAGAACTAAGCAGGATTTTTCAGTCCTGGAGTTCGCAGAAACATCATTGAAAAAAATGTAAGCTGCAAGTCATGCTATGTGATTAGGAACATCTGGAAACAAATGAATATGTTATCCCAATCTGGATGCAGAAATGGAAATAACCTTAAAGAGAACGCGAACAGGAGAGAAAATGTCTTGGGGGTGTTATTATAAGTGTAAGCACACCAAAGGTGTAGTAACACTTAAAGCAAAATATCAAATCTAATTTTCACGAAACTGAAGCAATTTCAACACAATCCTTTAACAATCTTGCCCCATTTGTAGACATAAGAGACTGATGTAGACTAAAGCTGGCCATACACATATAGATTATCTGCAGATTTTCTATGCTCAGATGGAAAAAGTGCAACAGATTCCTCCATCTACGCTAAACTGTGTGGATGGAGGAATCTCCCACTGGGCCAAGCTTCAGTATCTTGCTGGTCGGCCCCACTGGCTCTGAAAATACCTGAACAATCCGATTGGATGCAGGCACTCCACACAGTTCAGCATAGATGGAGGAATTTGTTGCACTTTCTTCCATCTGCAGAAAATCTATAGGTGTATGGCCAGCTTCACACCAGCTACATGTTGATCAGATAGGATGAATGACCCATCTGATAAAGCTGAGTAATTCTCTGTTGGGAGCTCACCTGACAGACAATATCTAATGAATGGCCTTTAGCAGGGCCTACGAGTGATCACCTCTCTCTGTAAATGCAACTGCTGGGTTGTAATAGCTACTTGCCAGATTCAGCACTTTAAAGTGAAGCTGAATGGGAAAAAATGGATTGATAGGTCATCCCACCCACAGATGGTTACATTTCCTGCTGATCCGTTTACCCATCAGAACTCCGCATCTAACCCCAGTGTAAGTGCCCTGTTAGAGCTTACACAGGGTTAATGATTCTCCCCATGACAGTGGGCATGGTGAATGGCCACTCATGCCTGATCACTGTTTCCTGTGAGGAAGAACAGGAAAATGCACACCCAGAAACACCAATTATTTCCCAGGACCCCTGACAGAAGAATTGACACGGCAAAGCTATTAGAGGGAGGTGTTAAGACACTAGGGATGCACCGATACCGGTTTTTCGGTATCAAGTACTAATATTTTTTTTCCGGTATTTGCCAATACAGAGAACCGATACCGGTGCCATGTCCCCTGATTATCAGGAAGTGGGGTGGCGGATCATGACCCGTCGTCCGGCTTCCTGATTTCCTTGGGAAGCCAATGTCCTATCGAAAGAAGACCCTCTTCACTTGCCGAGGCCGATTGGAAAGGAAGCCAGCTCCATGCTCCCTCGCCACTGCTATCAGAGCATTTGGGAGAGTACCCACCCAAATACTCGGTATCAGTGCTTCCCTAAGAGACCCTGTCACTTTGCCCTGAATGACGGTGACATGTTCCTTTTAAAGAAAAGGCCCAAAATATGTTCGCATATCAGGATTTCAAAATATACTTGTTCCAAGTCTGGCTGCTTGATCTTTAGAAGTAGACCAGTCTTAGAACATGCTGCCCTTAAAGTGACACTAACCTCAGGAGTTTTACATTCACATACCTTAACTAAGAACAAAAATGTATCTTATTTGTGCATGGGGGTTTAACTCCTGAGTTTAGTGTCACTTTAGTGGCCTAGTACAGGGATAGGCAAACTCTGACCCTCCGTGCAACTACGAATCCCATTAGGCCTTCCAAGACTTATAGCCACAGACATGACTCCCAGAGGCAGATGCATGATGGGATTTGGGCCGAGGTTGCCTACCCCTGCCCTAGTTGGTTATTTATCCCACACATTGTCTAACTATTGTTTGGACAGTTAAGCTTGCACACTGTATACGCCAGGGGTAGCAAACCTCCGGCCCTACAAATCCCACAGGGCATTGCAAGATTCTCACAGCCACGACTCCCGAAGAGAGATGCATCATGGGATTTGTAGTTTCACCACAGCTGGAGGGCCGGAGGTTTGATACCCCTGGTATACACAGTTCCAGCTTACACAAACGACGTCTATGCGGATCACTCCTTTTATATCATATTATATATTCTCTCGTCTTGACTATTGTAACTCCCTCCTCATTGGCCTTCCACTACACAGGATATCCCCCCTTCAGTCTATCATGAATGCAGCTGCCAGACTCATTCACCTTACCAACCGCTCAGTGTCTGCAACCTCCCTCTGCCAATCCCTCCACTGGCTTCCACTCGCCCAGAGGATAAAATTCAAAATATTAACAGTCACCTATAAAGCCATCCACAACTCTGCCCCCGGCTATACTTTGACTTTGTCTCAACGTATCACCCTAAACGTCCCCTCCGCTCATCCATTGACCTCCTGCTTTACAGCTCCCTTGTCTACTCCTCCCATACTCGCCTCCAGGACTTCTCTAGAGTCTCTCCCATCCTCTGGAACTCCTCACCCCAACCTGTCCGTCTATCGCCCACCTTGACTGCTTTTAGGCGTTCCCTAAAGACTCATCTCTTCAGGGAAGCCTATCCCACCTCAACCTAACCACTGAACCTTCACATTCTCACATAATTCATTCCCACAGCTACCACAGCTACCACATGTATGATTTCCCCCTCCTCTTTTATATTGTAAGCCCTCAGGGGCAGGGCCCTCCTTACCATCCTGTCTTGAATTGTATTGTAACTGTAATGTCTTCCTTATATTGTAATGTTATCCCCCTATATAATAGCAATAACAATAAGTGTAAAAAAATAAATATAAATTAAAAAAATAAAAGTAACATAAAAAAGTTAAATAAAATAAGTCACATATAAAAAAGGGGAAAAAAAAACCCCAAAATGTTTAACTCCCCCACGTTTACGCGCCTATAAACGTAAATACGCGCCCGGTGCCCCAGCGCGCAAAAATTACAATTGCGCTACACATGTTACATGTCACACCCCAAAAAAGGGTATAAAATTCATTTCAGTACAGCGCTGCATGACGGAATAAATGTCAGTTAAAGTACCGCAGCGCTGAATACTGAAAAATGGCCTGGATGGGAAGGGGGTTTAACACCGCGGATGTCAACTGGTTAAAGACAGATAAAAAAAGTTTACTTGGTGCCCCCTGAAAGAAAAAACTCACCTTTCCCACCACCGATCTTTGTTCTCTTAAAGAGATGAACGCTTTCTGAAGAATCTTTAGCATCTGACACATTTTTGGGAGTGTTGGATACCTGCTCCTCTGCTCTATGGACCATAGAGCAGAGGATCAGGCATGTCATGTCATGACCGCATGTCATTTCCTGTGTCCAGTAGCAGTCCGGCGGAGTCAGTCACAAAGTGTAAAAGGGAAACAGACACCAACTCCCCCAGAAGTGTCACATACTGAAGATTCTTTAGCAAGATTAAGCTCTTGTGAGGGAAGATTGGTGAGACAAGTACAGTAAACTCCACCTTTATCCGGCATCCACGGGGATTGGTAGATTCCGGATAAATGTAATTTCTGGTTGCTTGAGAGTTAGTATTAAATATAGGCCTAACTAATGCCATACCCCATACTATACCATAAACTCAGTACTGACTTCATATTACTACTGAAATGCAGTAATCAAATTAAGACAAATAGACACATGATTTTTTTCCAAGATAACAAGCCGCAGATCAGCAGACACAGGGGATTTTTTTCTGGTTAGATGAGAGTTCTGGTTAGTTGAATGCTGGATAAGAGTTTACTGTATTAGGGTTTGCTCACACTGCAACCCCTGTGTTCAGTGTGTGCTTACACAACGCATTGCCTTTTGTTTCCCAGAAACGCGTTTTTCTTCTTCCCTCATGGTTATGTGCATTGCATTTAAACATGTTATGGTGCATAAAAATCCTCACCACTACACTTTTTTTTTTTTTTAAAGCACTGGAACAGAATGCAGTGGCATGAACTAGGTGATTACAAAACAGTGATTCTGCTGTGCATGCTTTCCGAATGTCTTTAAAAACCACACCTGAACACATCTGGTGTGAAGCCTTTACGCTTTTTCGTGCATGGCAGACTTTAAAGTAGAGGTGCGCCGAAATAAAAATGTTAAAACCAAAATGAAAAAAAAAAATGTTGGGACGAAACCGAAAATGTTTTTGTTCTAACTTTTTCAAATATTTAATTTTTTATAAACTTTTACTTTTTTATTTATTTTTATTAAAATATTTTTATTTGTTACTTTACTTTTAGGGGCTTTGGGGAAATATTAGGGATCTAAACAGAATTCTGTCCTCAATTATGTACAAACACTCAGTGATCACTGAGTGTTTGCTCTCGCGCTCCATTCTGACACGCTGTCACAAGTGGCTGAACAAGCGTTGTGAGGAGAGCTCAGCCTCCTGTGACAGCGCTGGCTGTCTAGGCCCACACACAGCTCTGTGACAGGAGGCTGAGCGGTGTGGGAGGAGACACCAGCCGCTCTCGGCCGCCTGCGACACTTTCTCTCCTCCCCCGCTGGGACACAGAGCAGCGCCCAGCGGGGAGGAAAGAAATCACGGATGCGCCGATGTATCAGCAGAAAAATTACACTTTCGGCATTTAGCCAAAAGTGCAATTTTTGGCCGATATATCGGTGCATCCCTAGTTTAACGTTATTATTCATGACGTAGAGTTGCAGGTTTGGCTAATATGGAAGCCCCTACAGCAATAGTCAGAGCTCTCCAGCCCCACACATGGAGTCATTAACCCATAGATCATGGGTAGCCAAACTTCAGCTCTTCAGCTGGGGAGAAACAAAATCCCATCATGCCTCTGCAGGTCGTGACTGTGGCTGTCAGAATCTTGCAATTCCTTTTAGGACTTGTAGTTCCACAACAGTCGGAGGGCGACATTTGGATACCCTGGCCGTACAGAAAAGAGGACTCCCCCGAAAAAAACAGTTGAGTTTCCACAATCATTTTTAGCTGTTGGTAAATAGGGCTTCTAAAAGCAACCAATGCGTTTCGGGAGCAAAACCACTCCCCTTTATCATGCAGCTGTAACAACATGGGGAGAGTTTATTTCCAGTTCTAATATAGATCTGTGTGGTCACTATCTCCCATCCACGTTTATCCTGTGTTGAGCCCTGATGAAGGGGGGAGAGTTTTGGCCCCTGAAATGCATTGGCTGTTTTTATACATGATCAGCTTACCAACAGTTAAAAAAAATACAGTTGACTCCAATCTGCATTTGGTCTGGCTTTCCGTATTTCCAATGAGGGGAATCTTGCGGCGGTGTGGTAGTCACCTCGCAGAGAAGTTTTGAGCTTCTTGAATTTTTTCCTTCGTGCGACTGCATGTAAAATGTTTAATATTCCCGAAGCGGATTTATATATGTTGTTCTAGAGAACATGAAGTCACCGCGCTCGGGGCAACGGGAAGGCACACCATCTGGACCTAGAACTTTTCCTGGGTCATATCAAGGAGAACTAGAACCCCCCCTCCCCCCGGGTCACCTCACCTGGGACCAGAACTTCCCACCGGGGTCACCTCACCTGGGACCAGAACTTCCCACCGGGGTCACCTCAACTGGGACCAGAACTTCCCACCGGGGTCACCTCAACTGGGACCAGAACTTCCCACCGGGGTCACCTCAACAGGGACCAGAACTTCCCACCGGGGTCACAGCAGCTGGGACCAGAACTTCCCCCGGGGTCACGGCAGATGGTAGGCCCTGAACTGAGTGGTTGGCACATGGTGCGGGCCGGATGCATGTATCAGCCACCGGTGTACAGCGGCACTAGTGGTGCCCCAGACCGTGCCGGGCGTGAAGAAGACACAGGGTAGAGCTACGTGCAGGGCTCAGCGGCCACACGTGTCCAAGGGCCCTCATGGGTGAGCGTAGGGGGTACACCGCTGCAGGGTGACGTGCCTCAGCACAGAACACAGGCATGTATTTCGGGTTCAGGGAGTGTCCGGTGTTCTCTCACCCCAGCTGTCGTTCTCCGCCATTTCTCTTCCCGCTACGGCTCCGGCTCCGACTGACTCACCGCGTCCAGCTGCGCGCGCAGCTCTCTGACGCCTAGAGGGGGCCCCTCACCGGAAGTGTGTCACTGCGCACAGTGCGCGGGCAGCCCGGAAAGCTCCATTTTACTATTCCTGGCAACTAAAGAGGGGACGGTGGCCGGTGAGGCCTCTCCCTGTCAAATCACACGTCAGGCTGGGACTGTGTGTCCTCCACCCGGAATTACACCCAGCTGGTTGGGCCGCCATGTTGGGGGCACCACGTGAGACGCACGTGTCATCCCCGGCCTGTGTCACGTGTCCGGTGATGGAGCAGAACACGTGCTGGCCGCTCAGAGTACCGGGGATCGGTGCTGAGTGTTCGGGTATTGAGCGGATGGTGGTGTGCGGGTGATGAGCTTGTGATCTGCCAATACTAAACCACACACGTAATAAATATATCACCTCTCTGTAAACATAACGTATTAGATGTATTTTTATTGTATAAAACTTGTCTTCCCTTAGTGACGTGAAACGTTGATGTGTTACGATGTACCGGGATGGTGGGAATGTTAAGGTTTTTCAAACACCATAAGAAGCTATTATCAGGCAAAACACATTCATTAAATCCATGCATAGTGTGGTGGCATAGGGACTGGCAGGGGACCACAGTGCACCGCGGGGAATGGGTTGTTTTAAGCAAATATGACCCTGTTACTATGACATGTCTGTGAAGGTTCTCATTCATCCAGGTCATGGTATATCTGTAAGGAATAAGTCAAGGCAACTGGGCTTGCTGTATTTTTCTTGAAGACGTTTCACTGGTCATCCAACGAATTCAGAATGACTTGTACAAAAATTATCTGGGAATAAATATGGTGAATGCTGCTCCAATCCACATAATCTGTTAGTCGCAACCAGCTGACCAATGCGATCAACACCTGGTTGTGACTAACATATTATGTGGATTGGAGCAACATTCACCATATTTATTCCCAGATAATTTTTGTACAAGTCATTCTGAATTAAGAAAGCTGGTTGGATGACCAGTGAACCGTCACTTTTTACCAGGACCAGTAATGACGGTGAATATCCCCGGCATTGACACATACTACAATGAAAAGATGACAGGAGTCCTCACCCTGCAACACTGTCCAAAGCAACAACAAAACATTGGCTTTCCATACACTAGAAGGTGTAGAGATGGTACAAGAGCTGTGAGTTATGACATTGTATGTATTGGAGAGGAGACAGGAGACTAATTAACAAATTGATCCATAGAAGTAGACTTATTTATTGATTTTTCTTTTCTATCCTCATACAAGCAGGTAAAACACTACACGTGTCATTTGTTTTTCAGCCTTTATAAAATTTTATAGATTTTACTTTTAGTATTTTATTTTTGCCCCATCTCCTTTACACAATGCCCTCTGAAACAACAACTCCCAGTAAACATTTTCTTAACCCTTGTAGTGGGGCTCCCCTTGCAGTGAAAGGGCGAAGTGCTTGTTATGCCTAGGTTCAAAAATAACAAAGCGATACTCGCCCGATCCTCCAAGCCAGCCGGCTGTCACAGCGCTCCCTCCAGCTTGTCTCCTCCTACTCTGCAGCGAGGACATGTCACTCAGCGTCCTAATGTCCTATACACTGTGTATAGAACGTAGTGACTCATCCTTAAGGTGCCCATACACTGTACGAGAATCGCGGGAAATCCCGTGATGGTACGATAATAGCAAAGTGTATGGAAGGCGTGCGACCGTTTCTACTGTGCGGTCGCACGTCTTCCGTCAAACAAGCAGGCTGGAAAACCCGTCGGGAATCGTACGATTCTCGGCGAGTTAGTGGCCTGCTTGTTTGCCAACTGCCGAACGGGCCGGTGTGCGCACGCACAGGCTGTCCGTTTGCAGTCATCGAAAGCCCGCCCCTCGGGGGCGGGCTTGCGATGATCGCAAGTATGATCTGCCTGTCCAGGATGGGCAGATCGTACGTTTTTTTAATTACTTACAACCCTCGCAAGACAAAAGTCTTCCACGCTAAACAGTATGGATGGATGAATCTCCCGCATGGTCCTTTGTATACTGACAGTGTGACGCTGTCAGAATAGCTGTTTGCCTGAAGATTGGCTCCATTGATTTTCTGATCAAAGGATGCTGGACGGAAGGGTGCTGACATAGGAAAAATTGTATAGGGAAAAATGAAATGTCACTCAGTTAGGGCTCGTTCACAGCAGCCACAGTACGTTCCGGATCGCATTGTAGCTGGTTAACTTTGTTTTGGGATAGGAGGGGGCGTGGCGGTGCATTGGAGGGAATAGCGCCGCGGCCACGCCTTCCAGCCGCAATGCGATCGGCCGCACGCGAACGCAAGATACATCAATGCCTGCGGTCCGGTCAGCAAAAATGCTGCAAGCGCCAATTCTTTCTGACCGCACCGGACTGCAGGCATTGATGTGCCTTGCGACCGGCGTGCCTGCCCCACAACAAAGTGAGCCGGCCAGAATCGGGCCGGAACACACTGTGGCTGGTGTGAACTAGCCCTTAGGGTTTACATCTAATTTAAAAGCATCGGTTTTAGGACCTGATCAAGCCGTTTTCCCTTATATACAGGTGAAACTCGAAAAATTAGAATATCGTGCAAAGTTCATTTATTTCACTAATGCAACTTAAAAGGTGAAACTAATATATGAGATAGACTCATTACATGCAAAGCAAGATAGTTCAAGCCGTGGTTTGTCATAATTGTGATGATTATGGCTTACAGCTCATGAAAACCCCAAGAACCCCAAATCCACAACCTCAAAAAAGTAGATTATTACATGCAATCAATAAAACAAGGATTGTACATAGAACAATATCGGACCTCTGAAAAGTACAAGCATGCATATGTACTCAGTACTTGGTTTGGGCCCCTTTTGCAGAACTTACTGCAATTACTTTTGCACGATATTCTAATTATTCGAGTTTCACCTGTAGACTTCAGAACCATTTTAAAGTAGAACTGAAACCAAAACTTTTTTTTAGTTTTGGGTGGAGTAAGGGTTACAACCCCTGTCAGCTCTTTTTGCCATCTGTGTCGCATTGGGGACACAGGAAATCTCTGCAGAGAGAGGGAAATCCCTAGTGATCAGCAGGATCACCAAAAACCAGTGTCCCCGTTGGGAGAATTCCCATCTATTCCTGTTCTCGTGGCATCCCAAAATTCTAAATATTAGTGGAAAGATTTTGCACAGCAATGAATACAAGAGATCAGAGATTACACCAATGCGTTTAAGTGCTCTCGCATGTGTGCGTCGGCTCCCATTGACTTTAATGTGAGGCATTATGCTGCACATGGGGTCCGTAATAAGTGATTCTGGGTTATGTGCAACCTATGCATAGCATGCAATGTGTGTTACATATGTGTATACCCTACCGGAAAGTTCTGCAGGGTTAAGCTGGCCATACACTGTCATCATTTTTAAATACAATGCCATAATGAAAAGATATAACAGATTACTCCACCCACGCTAAACAGCATGGATGGACGAATCTCCCGCTGTGTCCTTTGTATTCTTTTTTTATTTATTATTCTTTAGTTATGATCTCGAAAAAGCAAGACAAACACCCTCCCGCACCCCCCTTGTGACACCACCCGTTATCCCCATCTCTAAGTATAAAAGTCTTCTATACCGCTAGAAGATATCTGACAACTTTGTAAAGAGGAGCCGGCCTTGTTCACACCAAATGCAGAGCAGATCCGGTCAGGTTTCTGCACACGCACGCTAGTCTTTTAGATGCGTTTTTGGCTTTTTTTTTTTTTTGTTTAAAGGAGAAAAAAAAAAGGAGAGGGGAATCCAGCCCCTCCCCCTGTCACGGCAGAGAGCCGTGACAGGATCGGAAGGTGAGCGAACCCGGTATGTGTTCGCTCACCTCCCGATCTACTGAGCCGACCTGTGACAGTCTCATTGTCACAAGTCGGCTAAAAGCACTCACCTCATAGTTCTCCTTTAACATGGGCTTTCAGTGCGTTCCAGGCATTTGCATGCGTTTGCAGATCCAGAGCAGGTAAAATAGGGCCTGCTGTCGTTTTTTTAACCTGCTCTGAATCTGCACGCTGCTATGTGAACTGGAGCTAAAAATACCATAGGAATACATTGGACGCAGTTTTGATCCGGTCTGCACCTGCTCTGCTCTGGACCTGCTCCGCGCTTGGTGTGAACTAGCCCTCAGACAACGTGGCAGAACTGGCTTTTTATACTATAATGACCCATGACAGATATTCTTTTTATATACAGTTTCTTACATTGGTTTATTAGCAGTATTAGGAACTACATACATAGTGTAAAAACTTTGCATATAGAGTGAATGGGAACAACACGGACAGTCCTTGTACATCTTAACAGCATGTGAAAACAGAAATGATAAAAGGCTATACGTAACTGCTTGGGGATGGGGGAGGGTGTTGGGGCAATAATGATTTGAGCTTGACTATGGTCTTGCCAACCATTTCTCCAGCTAGAAGATGGGGTAAAATCATCAACATGCGTACTGTTTGGCTCACATTTTAAGTCAACTGATACCCTATGATAGTCAAGGGCAGCCACATCTTCTGTTTAGTTTGGATTGGTGGGGCAGATGTGTTTTAACCACTTGCTGACCGGGATGTTTATACCCCCTTCCTGTCCAGTCTATTTTTCAGTATTCAGCGCTGCAGTACTTTTATTCAGTCATGCAGCGCTGTACTGAAATTAATTTTATACCATTTTTTGGGGTCAGATAGAGCTTTCTTTTGGTGGTATTTAATCACCACTGGGGTTTTTATTTTTTACTATTTTAAGGAAAAAAAGTACAGAAAATTAAACAAACTGCTTTCTCTATGGTATGTTAAAAAACATTTCTTACCCAAATTGTTGTTAAAATATGGGTAAATAGACATCAAACATGTCAAGCTTTAAAATTGTGTGCGCCCGCTAAATCACAAAAAAAAAAAAATACTATACCCAAAATTTCCCATAGGTGACGCTTTAAAAGCTCATTAGTTTAGTGTTAATAGTGACTGATGACCCTAGAACTATCCTCTTTATGAAAACATCAGGGGTCCCTAAGACCCCTAATGTCACCTGGGGACC